GGGGAGTTCGTTCTAGAGGGCCGGAGCTGCCCCAGAGAAGGCCCTCCCCCGGGTAGTAGCCAGGTGGCATTGGCTGGTAGATGGCACCCGGAGGAGGCCAACCCTGTGAGATTTAATGGGTCTGTGGGAGGTAATTGGCAGCAGGCGGTCTCTTTATTTATGCAAAATAAAAAGTTTTAAACAGCGCACCCATTCCGTCTTGTAGCCCAGACGGCACAGCGTCGCCCTCTCCTAACCCCACGTTTTCGGCCCTACTACCCCTTCCCTCATCCACGACCAGCGCTCCCACCAGTTTTGAAACCCCCCCGCGTGGTAGCCCCTAAAAAGGCCGCATTCGACGCTTCCCCCCGCCAAAGCCTTACCGAGGGTGGGAGGAGGACTCCCGGAAGCCCCCGCATCGCCGGCCCCGGCCAACTCAGCGTGGGAAGTGCTAAGTCCCTCCAGGAGCCTGAGCAGCGTCTCCTGAGGGACTTTGCAGCCTCATCCGCGCAGCTCCCCGTAGCTGGTGAGCCTCCAGCCCGGGCTCAGACCCAGCGCCTCAGGCTCAAACGGCCGGTAACCGGGCGGCCCGGCGGCGGGACTTGGCGCGGTGGCTGTCGCCAGCGAAGGGAGGGCGGCTGAGGGAGAACCGGCCACCGCCGCCATGATGGCTCCACAGCAAGAAGCGTCTTTCCTCGCGAGAACTGAGGCAGGGAAGGGGGTGGGGAAAACCGCCGTTCGCCAAGCGACGCTCGGGCAGGGCGGGGGGGGCGGGGGAAGAGCTGGCACGCATTCCGCCTTCATTACGCCCGCGGGTTGTTGTCTAGCCGAGGGGAAAATCTCGCGAGACGTCGAGGAAAGGGCGCTTTCGGAGGTTCGTGTTTAAACTGTAGCCGGGAAGGGGCCGTTCCGGACAATGGATTAAAATTCTCTCTCCCTCTGCTCCCCCCCCGCCCCCTCTCAAACCTTCTGGGATCTTAGAGCGCAATCATCGCGATATGAGATTTAGCGAGAGTAATATGGAACCTGTGTAAATGTCATTTGGCGTAAAAATGTGAGACGGGAGATTTCTAATTACTGTACAGGAGCGTTAATGGCACAATTCGTCTTGTTTTCTTTGTCACTATATACTGTAGGACAGTGGTCTCCAACCTTGGCAACTTTAAGATCTGTGGACTTCAACTCCCAGAGGTCCTCAGCCAGCCAAGCAAAGCTGGCTGAGG